GGAATTGAAGAGGATGATGGCGATGCCGATCGTTCCAGCAGTGCGCCGCGTCTCGACACGGCCGCTCCGAGCACGGCACGCGTCGCGCAGCGAGAAGCGTGCGCACATCGAGGCAGCCACGGCCCAGGCCCTCTGGGGGCCGACGCCGTGCCCCAAGCCACGACGACGGTCCGGGGGTCTCCCTGGCTCCTGATCCGCCGTACTTTGGATGATTTTCCGACCTGAAATTGTATCGGAAATCGACGCCAAAGGAGCCTCAAGGGCGGAAATCGACGCTCAAAGGGGCCTCAAAAGTAGGGCGGAAATTTCCGCCCTACTTTCGAAATCGCCCAAAGTAGGGCAGATCAGGAGTCAGGGCAGGCCCTCTGGGCCGACGCGTGGCCCCAAGGGCCACGGGAGGCCACGTCGACCGACCGACCCTCCCCCCCCGCCTCCCCCGCCCCCCCCCCCCCCCCCCACCCAACCCCGCCCGGGACCCTTTCGGCGTGCCCCGTGGGCGGGCAGAGCGTGCCGCTCCGAGACGCTCGCGGGGCGGGGGGGCTCCGAGCCGCCGCTCCGTGGGCGTATACACCGCTCCTGGGCCCAGGATTGGCCTGGCCAGGAGCAGTGGATATGCATAGATCTCGTCGCCCTACTCTGGGGGCCGGCGCCGTGCCCCAAAGCCACGACGACGACGGTCCCCGGGCTCTGGGCGTGCCCCGTGGGCGGGCAGAGCGTGCCGCTCCGAGGCTCGCCGCGGGGCGGGGGGCCCCGAGCCGCCGCTCGGGGCGCGGGCGCCCTCGGGGCGCGAAGGGGCGCGGCCGGCGCGCCGCGCTTGGGGCGCGGCGGGCCAGAAGCAGCAGAGCGACGCGCTATCCTTGGGTCGGGCATGTCCCCCTACAGGCGGGTTTTGGGCGAAGAATAACCCAGACATGATGGCGTCGTAAAAAAATCAGGACGCGAGGTTTTTGATTATTTTCGGCCCCGGGGGGCCCTCGCCGGGCCTCGGGACCGTCAAAAAACGACTCAGGATGAAAAACCGGCCCCAGGGAAAGGGTCGGGACTTGCGGGGACGCCGTCCTGAAAAAATCAGGACGTCGCATGTCTGGGCTTGGGTCGGGCATGTCCCCCTGCAGGCGGGTTTTGGGCGAAGAACAAGACACACCCAACAAATGGTCAAGAAGTCGTAAGCCCAGACTATTGTCTGACCATCTTTGGAAATGCCCCCTGTAGAGGGACGGGCCCGACTTCACGCTATCCGAAAGTTCCCAACCGTACCCCCCTGCTCCTCGACGACGCCCGCTCTCCCGCTGCGTTCTGCGGCGCCTCCGCCTTCAGGTCACGGCCCCGCTCGGTGAGCGCGCCCGCGCCGAAACGCGCCACGGGACCGTCCCCTGCCGCGCCTCGCGGTGCGACAGCGAGCCCTGCTAAAAACGAGCAAAGGCACGCCTGCTTGCCTGCGCCCCCGCTCCTTCCGTCCCCGCGCCGATCGCACCAGGAGCCGAATCCTCTCCGGTCCTCGGCTATTTCCTGGCGTGGGCCCCCCCGCCCTGGCTCCTGATCCGCCGTACTTTGGATGATTTTCCGACCTAGAATTGTGTCGGAAATCGACGCCAAAGGAGCCTCAAGGGCGGAAATCGACGCTCAAAGGGGCCTCAAAAGTAGGGCGGAAATTTCCGCCCTACTTTCGAAATCGCCCAAAGTAGGGCGGATCAGGAGTCAGGGCGAGCCTCGACCCCTCCCCCGGGGCTGGCCTTCATTCATCCTCAGCCGACGCCCCCTCGACCTGCACCGCCGCCGCGGCCGCAGCGGCGGCCACCGCCGCACCCGCGGCCGCGGCCTTCCGCGCGGCGGGTGCGGCACCGGTGCAGGTCGAGGGCTCGACGGCCCCAGGACCCCAGACCCCCGACGTCATGATTTCTTCAGGACGCGACCCCCAGAGGTCCAGACCCATTCCCCGGGGACCGGTTTCTCATCCCGGGTCGTTTTTTGACGGTCCCGAGGCCCGGTAAGGGCCCTCGGCCGAAACTAGCGAAAAACCTCCCGCCCGTCGTGATTTTTCCATGACTCGAGGAGGTCTGTGGGACTGGGCCACGGCGCCCCGAGGCCCGAAGGCACATGGTCGAGGGCCCGACGGCCCCCGGGACTGCGGCACGCGGCCCCCCCCCCCCCGAGGCCCCGAGGGCTCCGCAGAGCCTGCCCGCGCGACACTTCTGCCCTGCGGCGCGGGGCCCCCCCCCGTCGCGGCCCGCCTCGGCAGCCCCGCCGCCGCCGCCGCCCGGCAGCGCGCCGCCCGGCAGCGCGCCGCCCGCGGGGCCGCCCGCTGGCGCGCGGGAGGTGGCGGACCTCGGCAGAGCCCAGCCCGCCGCCGCCGCCGCCGTCGCCGCGGCCGCGGCCGCCCTCGGCCTCCGCGGCCGCGGCCGGCGTCGTCGCCGCCGCCGTCGTTGCCGCGGCCGCCGCCGTCGTTGCCGCGGCCGCCGCCGCCATGAGGGATCCCTGCATCCTGATCCGCCCTACTTTGGGCGATTTCGAAAGTAGGGCGGAAATTTCCGCCCTACTTTTGAGGCCCCTTTTGAGCGTCGATTTCCGCCCTTGAGGCTCCTTTGGCGTCGATTTCCGACACAATTTTAGGTCGGAAAATCATCCAAAGTACGGCGGATCAGGAGCCAGGGCTCGCGCGACAAGATGGAGAGGGATGGGGATTAAAGATGATCCCTATCCGGAACCGGAACCGGAACCGGAACCGGTACCGGAACCGGAACCGGCACTCGTCGCGACAGGAAGGAGAGGGATGGGGGTCAGGGGCGATCGCTATCCAGAACCAGAACCGGAACTGCAACGGGAACGGGCACCTGTCGCGACAGGATGGGGGGGATGGGGATTAAAGATGATCCCTATATCTGGAACCGGAACCGGAACCGGAACTGGAACCGGAACAGGCACTTGTCGCGACAGAAGGGAGAGGGACGGGGATGACGAATGATCCCTATCCGGAACCGGAACCGGAACCGAAACCGGAACTGGCACCTCGCGCGACAAGATGGAGAGGGATGGGGATTAGGGATGATCCCTATCCGGAACCGGAACCGGAACGGGAACGGGCACTCGTCGCGACAGGAGGGAGAGGGATGGGGGTCAGGGACCAAGAACCAGAACCGGAACCGGAACGGGAACGGGCCCCTGTCGCGACAGGATGGGGGGGGATGGGGGTCAGGGACGATCGCTATCCGGAACCGGAACCGAACCGGAACGGGAACGGGCATGCACCTGTCGCGACAGGATGGGGGGGGATGGGGATGAGGGATGATCCCTATCCAGAACCGGAACCGGAACCGGAACTGGCACCTCGCGCGACAGGATGGGAGAGGGATGGGAATGAGGGATGATCCCTATCCAAAAATCCGGAACCGGAACCCGAACTGGAACCGAAACGGGAACGGGCACTCGTCGCGACAGAATGGGGAGGGATGGGGATGAGGGACGATCGCTATCCGGAACCAGAACCGGAACCGGAACGGGAACCGGCACCTGTCGCGACAATGTGGAAGGGGATGGGGATGAGGGATGATCCCTATCCGAAACTGCAACCGGAACCGGAACTGGAACCGGAACAGGCACTTGTCGTGACTAGGGAGAAGGATGGGGACAACGAATGATCCCTATCCAGAACCGGAACCGAAACCGGAACTGGCACCTCGCACGACAGGATGGGGAGGGAGGGGGATGAGGGATGATCCCTATCCGGAACCGGAACGGGAACGGGCACCTGTCGCGACACGATGGAGAGGGATGGGGATGGGGGATGATCCCGTATCGTGGACCGGCACCGGAACCGGAACGGGAAACCGGAACGGGAAACCGGCACGTGAGAGGGATGGGGATAAGGGATGATCCCTATCGGGAACTGGAACCGGATCCGGAACCGGAACGTCTGGGGGTCATAATGCCTGGGGTCGTGATTTGTCCGCAGCGCTGCCCCGTAGGTCTCTCCACACCTTCCCCAAGAACAGCTTTTCCGCCCCGACGGCGCCATGGCGCCGCGGCCTTCTCAGAGCGGTCCAGAACGCTCTGGGAGCGTTCCAGAACGCTCTGGAATGATCCATCCCTGCCCTACAGGCAGGAACTGTTACTCAGTGTGTCGCGGCGGCGGCCCCCGCGACACGCTGTCCGTCGCTCCGCTCCGCGGGGCGGGAGGCTCGGGAAGGCCCGGGGCGAGGACGCTCGGGGGATCGGGCTGTGGAGATAGCGTGCCGCGCCGCAGCGTGGTGGGCCAGAACCCCGCTTCTCCCCTGCCTCCTGCATCAGTCACCGCCGTCCTCCTCGTCCTCCTCCTTTTCCTCCCTCCTCCTCCTCCTCCTCCTCCTCCTCCTCCTCCTCCTCCTCCTCCTCCTCCTCACGCCGCGGAGACCCCGCCGCGGCGCACAGGGCTCTGGACGACGCCCTTTGGCTGGCGAGCGGGCCCTGGCGCCGACAAGAACGACTCGGGAGGAAGAGCCGGCTCCCCGGGTGAGGATGGAGGGAGGAGGAGGAGGAGGAGGAGGAGGAGCAGGGAAGGAGCAGGAGGAGGAGGAGGAGGAGAGAGGGGGGGAGAGAAGGAGGGGAGGAGGAGAAGGAGGAGGAGGAGGAGGGAAGGAGAAGAGGCGGAGGAGGAGGAGAAGGAGGAGAGGGGGAGGGGGAGGAGGAGGAGGAGGTGGTAGGAGGAGGAGAGGAGGAGGAGGAGGAGGAGGAGGAGGAGGAGGAGGGGAGGAGGAGGCGGAGGAGGAGGAGGAGGAGGAGGAGAGGAGGAGGAGGAGCAGGCCAGGGGCCGGCTCTTCCTCCCGAGTCGTTCTTGCGCGCCGGGCCCGCTCGCCAGCCAAAGGGCGTCGTCCCAGAGCCCCCGTGCGCGGCGCGGGGTCTCCGCGGCGTGAGGGTGGAGGAGGAGGAGGAGGAGGAGGAGGTGGAGGAGGAGGAGGAGGAGGAGGAGGAGGGGAGGAGGAGGAGGAGGAGGAGGTGGAGGAGGAGGAGGAGGAGGAGGAGGAGGAGGAGGAGGAGGCGGAGTTGAGCAGTACTGTACAGCAGTTCGCGTCGTTATGAACGACAGCAAAAGGCATCGCTGTGAGCGAAACGGCGAGCCCCGGTGCTGGCGCGGCTCACAGGATGTCGGCCCTGCGCCGCCCCACGGCTGCGGCCTCGAGGGTGGCCGAGGTCCCGCCGCTGGGGTGCGACGCCCCGTCGGGCTGCCGCGGCCAGCTGGGCCCTCGGCCGTGCCAGCCGCTGCTGCGGGGGCCACGGGAGCTCCGTCGAGCGCCGCTGGTCGTGCAGCGCCCGATGCTGCTGAAGGTCACGCGCACGGTGCCTCGGCTCCGCTTGGAGGTGTCCGGGATGTCGGCCAGGTCCAGGAACACCGTGGCCGAGAAGGCGAGCCGGTGCTGGCGCAGGTGGGTCGGCATGAAGTGGAGGGGGCGCGGGAAAATCTCCGTGGAGGGGGAGCTGTCGCCCTGGAGGCCCAGGAGCGCCACATACGACTCCTGGACCCACTGCACAAACTGCTCGCGCTGGTTCATCTTGACCCAGCTCAGAAACTCCGCGTCCTCGCAGGTGCCGAAGCAGTGCTGGAAGCTGTCGGAGAAGCACAGAATCTCGTAGCCAGCCGAGAGCGCGTCGAACCAGAAGGCGGGGGCGTCCCCCTCGAAATCGTTGTAGAACGTCGAGCCTGGAGCATCCGAGCCCAGGGACTGCTCCAGGTCCAGAGCGCCCAGGTCGCCGCCGCTGCTGCTGCCGTTGCTGCTGCCGCTGCTGTCTCCAGCGTCCTCTGGTGGACCACCCTGGCTCCTGATCCGCCGTACTTTGGATGATTTTCCGACCTAAAATTGTGTCGGAAATCGACGCCAAAGGAGCCTCAAGGGCGGAAATCGACGCTCAAAGGGGCCTCAAAAGTAGGGCGGAAATTTCCGCCCTACTTTCGAAATCGCCCAAAGTAGGGCGGATCAGGAGTCAGGGCAGGGGGCGGCCCCGGCGGCGTTCCCTGCAGGTCCTGCTTTGGCCGGCGACCCCGCCGGCGCAGCTGCCTGGTCTCCGCCAGGCGCCCCAGGTTTGGCAGACGCATGGAGTCGGAGTCGCTCACCTCCAGGACGCCCACCTTGAAGGCCGGGAGCCCGCCCTGGCTGAAGTAGGACACGGCGAACACGTGCACGTTCACGGGGATGCCCGTGCTGTCCTTCATCAGCACCTGGAAGGTCTTGCTCAGGTCTGAGTGCTCCTCCCCGCAGTCCCGCAGCAACAGCTTCCCCATCTGTTCTGTGAACTTGCTGCTGTCGGATTCGGACACCAAGAACGAGCGGATGTCTTCCTGCTTGAGACTGCGCTGGGGATTCAGGAAGAGCATGTCAGCTAGCTCCTGCGAGTGCCTCTGCAGCCTGAACTCCTCGTCGAGATCGACCACCACCTCGCACACGCAGCCGAGCACCGAGGTGGCCGCCCGGAGCTCCTGCCTGGATAACTTGGACTGGAGCTCCAGGCGAACGATGTAAGTCAGGAGGCGGCTAAACGCGATGAGCATGCACACCAGGAGAATCATGTTCTGAAACCCGTCGCTCAATATCTGCTCGGAGCTGTAATCATAACTCTGGATTTCCTCTGTGTTCTCCCCGACCATCAGCGTGTAGGTGGACGAGAGGCATAGCAGAATCAACCATGGGATGTTCACCATCGGCTTCAGATTCCAGAGACAACAGAAAAGGCTGATAATGTAGATCATGCTCATGCGATAGGCGACCAGGTCTGCACGGACCGAATACGGTGAAAGGTACACTACCAGGCAGGCCATCAGCGCAGAGAACCAGTAGTCTAAAGACCTGGCCGTCATGACGGAGACGCCCGCCCACTGCGATGCCCACATGATGGATATTATGCCGCTGAAGACGCAGAGAGCGATGTCCTGAACGATCGACGCGAACCTCTTCACGGAGCCCCCGTCCAGCCCGCTGCGCACGGTGAAGACGAAGAAGTTCACGAAGACCAGTGCCTGCGCCCAGGGGAGGATCCGCAGGGCGCGCGTCAGCCGCCGGCGCTCCAGCTCCTCGCACAGCGAGGCCTCGAAGGCGTCGTCCTGGCGCGCCCGCCGGCCGCAGGGGGCGCCCGACGCCAGCGAGGAGCCCTCGCAGAGGCGGCGGCCCCGCAGCAGGCCGACGAGCACCACGAGGCAGCAGAAGAGGAGGCCGCAGGCGCCGACCACGAACACCACAAAGTCGCGCTGCCTTGAGGCCAAGAAGTTGCCCGGCGAGAACTGGGCCATGCCCTTGTCCGGCAGGCCCGCGTGGGGCGCCGGAGGTGAGATTGCCCAGGCCGAGCTTGAGCCAAAATAGCT